CTGTGAGCTGACAGTGTGCATGCACACACACCTGCTCACTGAGCACAGGTCACACCACAGCAGTCCATTTACTGTTCTCTTGCTGAAAGATTTGAGAAATACTTACTTTAAGAAGTCATGCAAATAGTTTAACAGCAAAGCCAGACTCTTCTCATCAAGAGGCGTGTAAGCAAGCATAGCTCCAATCCGAACTGTTTCAAAACAAGTAGCACTTCAGTTATAAAGAACAGGTCTGAAAGTATTACAGCAAGTCTAAACCTACACTGGCATATATAAAGAGCCCAGGAATCCATTCCCACACACAAGCTAACCAGAAACAACGTGCATTCCAAATCCTTGCATGACTGAACATAAGGCACACAAAGAAGTCACAGGTTTTGGAATTTGCCTCTCCAATTTCTGCAGTTCCCACTCGCTGAGACTCAAGACAGGAGAAGGAAGCATTCAGATGCTCTTAACCACTCCTTAATCTCTATGTCATACTCACCAAACAGCCTCAGCAGATGTGGGGCACCGTAGACTTGAGACATGGGAGCATCTGGATGATCTGCTAAGATTTCAGCATACTGGGGCCTCTCAAACTTGTACAGCAGTTGTGTTCCCAGCATGACATTGAAGTATTCTTTAATTCCAGCCACAACTTCGTTGACTGCATACTCCCTGGTAAACAGAGAAAACAGTCAGCCTTGTTCTTACACCTGCCTGGACGCAGAGTTAGATTTGACAGATTTACAAAGCTTCAGATTTCTCCAGGAAATCTGTCTGCAGACCTTGAAATGCAGAACTCCCTGCAGCTGTGCAGCTCAGGCCCTCCTTTACTGACTGCTTTTAACACAGAAAGAATTTACGTAAGCCAAAAAGCACCTCTCTTTTTTTCACCTACTCAAGTTCGCTTGACTCAGCACTCATTCAAAGCAACATGAACTTTGTTCACCGGTGAGTGGGTGAGAACAGATAGAGAACAGAACTCCTGATGTGGCTTCTACACTTCATTTAGGAGAAAGCGTCAGGCAGGGCAGAGTGCCAGGGAGAGAGAAAACGTTCAGGAAGTAGGACAGCGTTCTTGAATCGTGTCCTTGGAGACCTGGACCCCCCTGGCACTGGGATGTGTTTAACAACTTCTCTTGTTCATGAAGAAACTTGCAATCCAACAACAGGGAGACATATTCAAGAGCTGAAATGACTGCTACCTACTTGTTATCAGTATTCCCTCTAGATTTCTTGTAGTTTGCATAATCCTCTAAAATAGAGTCAACGTTCTTCTTGGCAGGAAGATAGAAAAGCTGTGGAAAAAAACAAAACAGAAAATACAAACTGTCAAACTTACGCAGACTTTTCTATCTGCGTGCTTATCTTACAGTGACATAAGGAAATCTCTAGAACAAAGTTAACGGGTTAAGGTGTAAAGTGCATCCACAGGTCAGCCCCCAATACTGGTACTGGAAGCAAACAAGACTGCTGGGCACCTGCTGGGGCCAACAGTTTTCAACAACACTTAGTAAAACTGGCAAGAAGAATACAAAGTAGTTTCACTCACTAACAAGTTCCTGAAAAAAGATAATATTTCTTACAATGGAAGACAGTTTATTTTAGGTAAAATTACTGTATCAAGAGGCTTTAGGCAGATCCAGCTTGGCAGCACAGTTAACAATCACTATTCTAAGACTGCTTTCTGTCAGAGCTGTAGATGCCTCAAATGCTTTCACAATGATGTGTAAATAAGACAGGATGGAACTGAGGTAAGACATCACCTGCAATGCTCATACAGACTAATTCTGTCACCTAAGCAAACTCCTCAAAGCATTCCAACAGGCCAAACATGATTAGAGGAACACCACAGAACTTAAAATTAGTTGACTTTTAGCTTATGTCCAATTAGACTGATTACACTCCACAAATTTACACGCAGCTCTGCTGCACAGGTAAAATCCAACTGCAATCAGAACTGTCCAGAAAGGCTTCTGTTGAACTCTGAGGACTTTGCTGCACTGCACTCAAGCGAGATACAAAATTGCTGATTGCTGTCCCTGCCCACACATTGACAGGCTGCTCTGTCCAAAGTCACCTGTTTTTGCCTGGTGATCAAGTCCCAGTCATCTACCAACCATGGTTTCAACTCTTCCGGGATTTTCACCTTTACTTCAACTCTGTTCATAAATGTTTCTTCCTAGAACAAAGAAATGGATTCACGCTACTTACTTTCAGATAATCAACCAAGATAAGCCACTCATCCCATCCTTTCCACAAAGCAAATACACTACAGGAGTAAGGAATTGCTGAGTTGGCTTTCGGGGGAACAGGGCAATAGCTCAGGTTTTCAGGCCACCCAGCAGGCCTCGCATTTCACGAAGTCGTAACAATTCACACTGCAGGACCAAGTGCTGCTGTCTGTATTTCTGAGCCAAGCAGCTCTTCTGCTCCCCATCAAGAATCCTGCAGGAGAATCATAAGCACATACACTTTCAACCGTTGGATCTACTCGTGCCCTCTTCTTCCTAGGAGGCTGAGGAGTCTCACTGCTACTGCTCCCCTCTCCAATTCCAGGAGCTGCATAGAGGAAAGACAGCGTGCTGAGTAAGAAGTCTGGTAAGGCCATAAGAAATACCAATAAAAAAGAAATGCTTAGGATTTAAGAGTAGTATTTAGATTTCTCTCAAATCATCCTTTCATGTGATTTTGTTTTCAAAACTAACTGCACATCACACGTCTGTGTTTAAACTGCTACATCGCATGTATGTGAAGATGGAGATTTCTGCACTAAGAACAAAACATATCCAGTGCTCTTTGGAGAAACCTTCTGGAACCAGCAATCAGCAGTGCAAGCATGTCCCATCTTGGTAAGGAAACTGAAGTGGGACTTTACTATTGAGAATTATTTCAGCAGATTAGTGGGGATACCACCTTACATTCTGGTTCCAAAGGGTCTAAATCCTGACAGGCTGGAACAGCCCATGACAAAGCAGCAAGTTACACATCCCTATTTTATTAACTAGGGAATTTTACACAAGAGACACCTGAGGTCCAGGAGCAGCACCGTAAGGCGCAGGAACTGAACTCAGCAGGGGCAGGTTTAAGGTCTTATTCCAACTAAGAATCCTTCCCTAAGCATATCCACTTACACACAGAATAAAGGTGTACTTACTTTTCTGCTTGTTCTTTTTTGTTTTCCTGCAATGAAGAACACAAATTATTGCAAACATAAAGATGAAAGTACTGAATGAACTGAAAGCCAGAAAAAAGTACAGTAAGTTCAGACCCACAAACTCAGAGGCCTACAAAGCATTTAGAAAACAACAAAAGAAGAACTGCCAGGGATTATTTACCACTAGTGCTGATGCTTCAAGGCTTTTCTATGACACAGGGTAGCATTCACTTTTTGGGGGATTAATTCAACTCAAATCTACAGAAATCCAGAAGACAGGCCATGAGTATTTGCAAAAATCAAGCACCTTAAAGCACTCCTGGCCATCATCACCAAGGAACGTCCACAGACATTTTGTATTTCCCAAATGCCTGTAGAGGTGTTATTTCAGTACTTCAGAGATCTCTTAAAGACAGAATGAAGGGCAGGGAAGAATCAGGCATCTCAGCCAGCTGACTCTCCTGTAGAGCACTGGAAGAACAATTTTAGCACTGCAGCAGCACAAGGAAGTTTGAACAGCACCATGAGAATTCACTGTGTGCATCAGGTCGCATGGAGCGCCCATGACGGCACTGAAGTTTGGGGGAGATCACAGTTATACCTGCCTCTCACTTGTAACATTTGGAACTATACTGAATAGAAACATTCCTAACATTTACCTTCTTCCAAATACTGCTCTCAAACTTTACCATACATCCTTCAGCCTTCCCTCAGTCCTCCAGCCTTACCCTCCATTTCTATTCCAAGCAGTCACACTGGGAAGCTAACTTGCAAACATTTAAAGAACACCTGGCATGCAATGCCTGCTCTATGCAAATACTCAGATATGTCAAGAGATATTAGAAACAAATTAAAGTGTCATAGCAGATTTTCATTATTTGAACTTTGTATGTTCACTGATTTTACTCCTTTAGTAAGAAAGCTGGAACTAAGAGCATTACCAGCCATGTTCCCACCTGTTTATTATTAATAGGAATCCAATTAAATGCCTCAAAGTAAAAAAAAAAATTCTGTGTGCAAGATCCCAGGTCATGAGATAAAGCTTTATAGCAGTACATCATTATTTCTTTGGAAACCTCATCACCACGTCAAGTGACATTTGTGGCCAGCCTCTGAGCTGGGTGATCTGCGTCAGCAAGCAGGCAGAGTCTCTAGAAAGGTCTGAAATCAGAAGAGTAACACCTTTTTCGGGCTTCAAATCACAATCATTAGGCTTAAAAAGAACTGTGGGCAGAATAAAGATCCCCTCTCTCTCTCCAGGAAGAAGTAACAACTGCCAAGTCAAGTCACTGACAAAGGACTTGTGCACTGAGGAGAGTCTTTTCTTCAAAACCTGGAGTGAACAAGCAGAGATGGAGTTCTTTTGAGAATTACTGTCAAGATAAAAATAGTTTTAGAGCATCAGGCTAGCAGAGTCTTAGCAAACTGGTGTAGGCAGGCCGTATAAAATACTTTAAGAAATACTGTAATTAAGACATACACCACAGCTATGCTACTGAATCACACAGTCTAGCATAAATCCACTCTGGGCAGGCGCTTGTACTCTCCCACCTCTTTCCTTACTTCCTGATTCTTTACACTCAAGGTATACACCTCTGCACCAAGTCAAAGCAGCCATCTGTTTGCAGTCTAAAAGACAAATCTCAGTTAGCAAACAAACAAAAATCTCAGGTTAGAGACAAAGCATTAGCACTTGGCAGACCTGCAGCACACAGTCTGCAGTAACTCTTCACTAGGTTAGAACAGCTGTGCAAGACAAATGCTTCTGCTGAGTAACTTAAACATGCAGTGCACTCAGTATCCAGGAGAGAGATGCAGCATTTGTGTACAGGCGGTGCAGACAGCCTTACTGAGAGAACCTGGAATCTAGGAGGAGCAGCATATCTTAAGCAGACTCATTGAGACACAGCTGAAGAACGCCATATATGTTCCTTGTGATAGCAGACAACAATTTCCTGCAAGGGAATTCAAGTCCTGAAGTGATACAAAAAGATGAAATACAGCTGGCACAGCCTAAAGCACATCCTTCTGTGCCACTTCACACATGATGAACTAGCCCAAAAACACAGGCACAGCAGCATGAGATATTTGACAGACTTCATGTACAAAGTACAGCCTGGCTGCAAGTTTACATGCACCACTGAGCAGCATTTCCATACAGAATTAGCCAACAATAAAACTAAGAAGCAACACGGAACTGCCAGGGAAGCTCCAGTGGAAAGTTTTAATTAAGACTGATCAGAGAGTTGCCAGGTACTAAAGACCTCACAGCTCAAACCTGAAGGATGTAGCCTACTGTAGGCTGACATTACCTCAGCAGCAGCAAGGTCAGCAATGGGAATTCTGGGAGGAAGGAAACCCAGACCTCACTGCAGGGTTTTGATTAAGCCAAATGAGGACAGGCCCCTACATCCACAGTACTCCGATATGAGTAACCAAAAAATGACACTGAACTGGAAAGCCAATCATCAAGTGAAGATGCTGACATTACAAGATCTGCAATTGCACAGAAACAAGACAATCAGCAGGAAATGAATACAACTGCAGCTTACAAAACAGCTCAATGCAATTAAGTACTGTAAATCAAGGGCGAGACTCAGAAGGAAAACAAGTAGTCCCCAGCACAATGCTGAACTTTCAATTGCAGTATCCAAAACAAGATGATGTACAATCAAATGGTAAGTGCAACTAAGGAGGCTGCCAGAGAAGAGCATATGTGAATGCCTACACCTCACCCTTCCAAACATCTGTCAGAACAATGATACCCAAGTACTTGTCAAGGCCCTTGGACACAGCCTCAAGCAGCTAGCAGTCTGTGCACAGGACAGCAGGCATTAGTGCTCAGATCTCTGAAGGCATCTTCTGGAGTCAGATGTCAGTAGAAAACAAGAGCAGCTCACAAAAGAATTCAACACAGACTAATGAGATCAGGAAAAAAAACAAGACATTGCAAGGTGTGCATGCTCCACAAGAGGGAGGAGTCTATGACCACCTAGTTTAAAGTTTCATGAACAGCTACAAGTGCTTCACTTTCCCCAAATCCTCAAGTGTTCTAAAAGGACACAGAAGTCCGTTAGAACCTCCCTACAGCAGCAGGTTAAGATACAAGCAGCAGAACAAAGGTGGGCTACACGTGGGTCTCAGGGATTTGAGCTTTAAGACATTTGTGAGCACCACAAAGAGATGAACGAGGTTCCAGTTTGCCCAGGATACAATGACAAAGATGTAAACAAATCTCAAAGTCTCTCCTGATCGGAGGTGACTGGTAATAAGACCTTAAGTGAAAATAATCAAGTATGGAAAATAAGCACGTTGGAAAGAGCCTGCCAGCCTTCCACTGCTCAAGCAGCTCGGTCACTGAATTGGCTCTGAGGAACAGCACTCCTATCAAAATTCAATTAAAGCATCCAACGCTATCAGGAAAAGTATAAATACCCAAGTCAGAACTACGTGCACCTCTGGCTTCTATGCTGAGAGGAACCACTAGGCAGAAAGAAAAGCCGAAATATTATAGAGGTATTATTAGAGATAAAGGATGAAGCTGGAAGAATTAATTATTCTTTCCTCAAAAAAAAGAAATCTACTTTAAAACCCAGGCAGCAGACATCAAAAATGACAGAATAGCCATCCTCCTTCCTCCCCTCCTCAGCACAGCACTGAATTTGAAGAAGCAGCATCCTACCACTGAACGGTGTGGATGCCAGAAGCCCAATCGCTTCACAAGTTCTAAGTGTGTTGGATTTAGGACTCTTCAACATGTTGGAGCTTTGAAGCTCCTTGATTAGACTGATAGAAGCAGAAGTGGTATCTTTGGGTAGAAAAACCTCACAGACTTGAGTCACTTGCCTGTCCCTAAGTGCACCTCGCAGTGACCACCAGGCAGCTGAGCAGGTTAGGAAGATCTCCAGCTGGAGCTCACATTCCATTACAGTGCTGCTAACGCTCAGACAACTGGCACGCAGGCAGTGGCATTAAGCTACTTGGCACCTAGAGGACTGAGAGTAGCTTTTGTAAGAGCTGCTAGTTGTGCCAGTGGTAGTAAAGGATGCCACAGAAGACATGCAGCCAGAGCACACATTTTTAAGTGACGTATTCAGCTTAAGAACAGGACTTCTGTCAGAAGGAATGACAATAACTCCCATATTTCAGTTGAGATACTGTTTTGGAAGCATCTCTGATGAGACTGCTTGTAAATGCCTCAGTAAAAAAAAGCCCAGAAGCTTTTTGTAAGCCAGGGCCATGTTGTCACTCCAATATTTCAGGTTGCCCTTCTTATTTTCTAAGCACAGGCTAACAGTTTTCTATCACACCACGCTCACCAAAACCAGCTCATGTTCTTAGGAGCTGTTGTTCAGCAGCACCACACATAACACAGGTTGAAGAAGCCAGCATCTGCAGTGTTGTACTTCACCTTTCAAAACTCACCGTAACTACCCAAATGCTTATGATAGTTTTTCTAATTAATACAAACCCATCAATTAATTTCAAAACAGCTGTGTACAAATAGCATTTCATGCATATTTCTACGTGATTAAACATTGCTTATTAATAGCCTTAAAAGCTGTTTTCAACTCATTGCTGCAGTTTACAGGAACAGTTACTCTGAACAGATTCAAGCCAGTGACAAAAACAGAGCAGATTAAAAAGGCAGGATCAGTCCTCACATTTGTAACAGTTGGTCACCACAGCCCAGCTCTCTGGTCTTACAGAACAGCACCGTTTGGAGTGATTTCCACAGCTCCAGGATACAGTAAGCATGCAGAGCAACCGTAAACTTCTAGAACTAGGCAGTTTTAAAACTGACATCAGTTACCTTCCAAATATTAACTAGCAGACTGAAGGCATTTGACTACCCACAGCATGCCCTTCCCCACCTGAAGACGTGTGCATTTCAGAGAAACTAAAAACCATCAGTTCACACTGGCTTTAAGAAACAAAGAACAACATACTGCAGTACTTAGAATCGTTAACTCAATTGCTACCAAAGCTTACATTATTACAACTGAAGACTTTAAGAGTCTCTTAAAGAAATCTATGAAAGCAAGGAGGTCTGGATTTCAGGATGAAAATCCTGGTTTGACAATCCATCCTTAACTCACCGCGTCGATATGGTAGGGGTCTCCAAACAGCAAACAGTATGCGCTCCATCTCGTCTGAAAAATCTAGGCACAATGGGGGTTGAGTTAAGGAAAGAATGTCAGACCCAGCGCTCAGCCTTCAAAGAATCTATTTAAGATTCAAAAATTTACCTTTCTAGCAGTACGTTACAGATTTACTGAGCATTCCTGGAGGATAAGTTGTTCTTGGACTGTTATCTCCTTCTCACTACAGTTTGGCTGAGGAACAAATTAGCAAGTTCTCTCCCTCTGTTCAATCCTCCAAGAATGCTACAAAGGTAACTTTTGAGGCCAAATCGCTTGTCAGGGTTACCCTCTTTAGAATATTTGCTCATTGGTTTCTCCCCCTCCCCGCCAACAATACTTCATGTACCTGCAAAGACCTCAGAATTACATCAGAATAACCCCGATGTTTTCAAACTACTTCCAGATGTTTTGGTTTTCAGAAGCCATCTTGCCTTTAGTTGTAAGCAGAACACAAGCAGCAGTGGCTCTTTCAACAACACAGCAGCATTACAACTTTGCATCACTGCTAGGTTAGGTCAAAGCATTGCCTCTCCCTCAGCCTCCAGATAAGGAAGAAAAATGGGGAGACTTTATTGGAAGAACCAGGTCTAATTTAGAAGGATGCTGGTAATAGCTAGAGACTAGGAGCAAGATCAGTGCAACAAGCATGAGACCCTGTTATCTTTCACATCGGAAGACTGCTGTTTCAGTGACCAGTTTTCTCTCTTCCCCTTCACTACATTAATAATCCACCATTTAGAAATCAATTTTTCCAATCACCACGAAAAGTTTGGCATGTTTTTCTACATGAGAAACAATCCCTCATGCTTACTATAGTGACAATAGAAAAATGCAAAGCCATTCCCTTCACCCAACTGGTTTCAACTGGAGAGAAGAGACAGATGTGGTAACATGCTTTTGAGCTTTGGAATTGAACAGAAGTTTAAGATGAAGTCCTTTTTGCTGTGCCAGTCTACCTCAGATTTAGCATTATTGTATGTGCTTGAGAGAATTGAGACAACTTTGAATTCTACTGCTTTTCAAGTGCAGGTGAGCACTCAGCATTTTCTCAGCTGGAAAAATCAAGCAACCCACTGCAATCAGCCTGCACCTCTAACATGACCAAAGCTGATAGCACAGGGAATGCAGTCCTGAAGCACTACTGAGATCTCTGCAAGGCGTTCGGCAGTCATGGAAACATTTACGATCGAGCCATCGCTTCCTAGCTTAAAGAATTAATTCTACTTCCAGTGACTAAAAAGCAAATAGACTCAAGTGCAACCACCTCTCACGTAGCCCCATTAGTAACTATCACAATTTAGATGCTTTCATTAGTTTATAATGACATTTATTAGGAACTCTGTAGAGGCCCATCCCAAGCTGAGAAAGCACACAAAACCAGTGCAGCTAAGGTACCTCACAACCTGCAGCAGTAGACAAGGGAGTATATGCAGCATTATGACCAGATCCATCTGAAACTCCATTCCAAAAACCAAGAGACAATTTACAGCCTTGGCCAACTCCAAAGCTAAATCTACGCTCAGCACCTACAGCAACAAAGCCTTCATCCACTGCACTTCTCAAACCAATGAAACACTTCGTAACACAAAGCTGCCCCTAAAGGAGGCATGAAGTGTGAGCCAAATTCTCTTAGGAAACAATGTCATCTCAGCAGCTTCCTCAAAGATCAGAATCAGAAATGAAGTTAGGAGTTCAAAACATGACGCTGGTAATGAGCACCTTCACAATTAAGTAAGTGAAGTACTACTCCAGCAGAAGAGTTTCATGGCACATGAGCAAAGCAGAGCTGTACTGACCGTAAGAACCTAAGTGTACGGCCATGCAAGCCTATTCTGAAAAAACAAAAAGGATGAAATGAAAGAAAACTGAAAGTTGCATTTTGCATTTTTTCTCCTGACAAACATCTGAGCTTGCTTCTGGTCTCTTAAGGTGGAAAAACATTTTAACAGCATGTGTGTTTAGATTTGGCAAAAAACAACAAAATAAAGGCTTCCTAAATGCAATTTTATAACTGCACAGTAACAGGGCAAGGCATTTTAAGGATTTTTCTGTATCAGAGCTTGGGCTCCTTAGAAGAACTAAACAATTCTGCTCAATTTGACTGAGATAAACAAGTCTTAAGGGAGCTTCCCACATTTGAGTGTCAGTTCACTAACTTGAGGGGAATAGTATTCAAAAGAGGAGCTATAAATTGTTAACATCCAACCTATTCAGTACCTTGACTCAATATTAAGCACCATTCCATCTTAGAAGATGGTTTTAGTACAGTACTTCACCAAAGGCCTTTCAGATACCACAAAAGTAAACACCTGTATAGCTTGTGTGGGGAGTAGTGGAACAGAGGCTAAATCATAGGGAAATACCATTGGAAGATCAGCAGTAGAATTCTAAGCAACAGTTTGGTTTTGGTTTTTAAATGAAAAGTTTCTTACACTTCAACATTTTTCTGCTGCAGACCAGATGTCTTCTTGCCTGGAGCAGCACCTCTCATCTTCCCCTCTGCATATTGTTCCCTTTGAAAAGAATAAATTTGGCAATAAGACTACCTGAAAAAGCAGCTTGTTTTCCCTCAAAAGGTAAACAGTTACACAAATCATTTAGAGAACTGCTAGCAAGTAAATCAGAGTCAGTATTTGACAAAGAAGGAACAAGTTCAACTAAACAGCAAGACGTTCTTAAGCTCATTCATATAACAAACCTTTCAAGGCATGAACTCCCATTTACACCTCCTCAATCCTTGTTACCCAGTGACGTGGAAACAACAGCTAACCTCTGCTAAAAAAATAACATACATACTGAAAAAAAGGGTGCTTCGGACCAAGTCTGGAGCTGTTTAGCGTTTCCTAGGAAGACTATCCTCACTGCTTAAAGACACGTTTTAAGGATACTGCAGGAGGGTCATTTTTAGTCTCCTTATTTCCATGTGACAGAATATGCTTCCAGTTAGTCAGTGTGCCTGGCTCTCATCGCCCTACTCTGAAAACTAAGGAGCAGTTCAGTTCACTCTATAAGCTTCTGGAGTACAAAGATCAGAATCCCTCTAAGCCAAAGCACCTCCAGAATAAAAAGAGAAACTCATACTTCTTGACGGCGTCTGCTGGGAGTTGTTTGTTTTGAACTTACCAACCTCCTCTGATATGCAGCAGTTAGATTGAAGTTCTATGGAACAAATGATTCTGCTGAGAACAACTTCTAAGGAAAAACACTTACTGATTGGCTTTTTGAAGTTCTTTTTGTTTCTGCAAATTGGTATCCACGTATTTGAGCACTCTGCTTTCTGGAACCCATTCATCCCAGCTGGAAAAAAGAACAATAATTAATCATTCAAAACCACTATGTAATCACATTCTACACAACAGAATCAATTAAAAGCTTCACAGAATCTGAGACTGAAATCTGCTTTTGTGACAAGCCATGGACTGACACAACGGAGTGTGAATTGCCAAACACATTCCCCACTGTCTGAAGTGGTAACAGCTTTTCTAGGGAAGTGTAACCCTCAGTAAATTCAGAAGAGTTCCCCAAACTCATAGGATGGGCAATTTGGGAGGGTGGGAATTGTTTTTAATTTAAAAGAGTCATTTCAGGAAAAAGAAAAGCTACACTTACTAAGTTATGGGACATCTGTAGCCATAACTGTATTATTCTGTGAGTTTCCTTTATCTATTCCAACATTTTATAGGTTAACAAATTCAGCAATAAGATCTTACTGTAAGAAGAAGTGCTCTGATTTCTGTCTGTGAAGGAAACCAAGATGGCATGAATATTTGAAGAATCTGAAGTGAACGATTTAAGAGAACAGGTGTTGGGGAAATTGCCATTATGAGCAGTAATTCCACTTTGACAGAGTGGATAATCTGAGCAATCTGACAAATTATTTCAAATAAAAGCACATTAAAAGTGGCCACGTTATTCTGAAATGCATAAGTGAAAGCTCACTACATAGATTTCCACATCATTTCCATTTGATGGCAGTAGCTGCTACTCTAGCAACATCAGTACGATCAAAGCAATACTATTACAGGAGTACAAGGCTTTCAGGATTGAGACAAGCCAAGCTTAGCCACCAAGTGTTAGAGAAACAGACTGGCAGCTGTATGTACTTCAGTGTCACATTTTGGTCAGATAGGAAAGCCACTTCTCTTACTCCTGGCTGTACAGCTGTGACACTTTCAAAGAAACTTAACTGCAGCACGCATTCCAACACATGAGGAAGCTCTCACATCCTGTCAATATTTGCATCAAAAGTTGAACTGAGCAATTAATAACAAAGGACTAAAATTATGTCAACCAGAACTAAACAATCACTGTTCCATCTGTCTAAATCTTGCAGCAATGCCACTTTTAATGTAGTTAACTGGAAGCCTGAAGGTAAGAAAACCTTCAAGCAACACAAGCATGAAAAGAAAAGCAGGAGTTACGACATCATTTACAGCACCCTTCACCACCAGAGATAAACAAGGAAATGAAGTACCACATCCATGCTGCCTCACTGACACACAGCAGCCAGCTTAAGAATCAGTTACGCTCCCTGTAAATGCTTTATAGTAAGCAGTGACAGTTATCTGCCCGCTGGCAGGGAAGGGGATAGATGCATTTACAGAGAACTGTAGGCATTAGGATGTGAAGTTCAGCTTTTAGTGAAGTCAGTGAGGTCAAGATATTAGTGACAGTATTTGCTCGAGAATCCGTAGCACTGAAATGAAGCAAAATGTGAAAGATTTCTGGAGCCTGAAGAGCTGAAGCTTATAATCACTAAGGAAAAAAACAGTAATTCTTAGATTGAAAACCCTGCCATAGAACTTGATGGGCAAAAAGCAACTACTGAATGCAGTAACCTTGTGAAATCCTCTTTAGAGGGCTGACCATTACATCGTGAAGCCATCTTCAGAAGTCTCTCACCTAGAATCCTATTAGTTTTGCAGAAGGGAAAGGTTTCTCTAATGCTA